AGAGAGAGAGAGGGGGGGAGTATATATTTCTCCAGGGTTTCCACCCCCCTACCTCCGTAAAAGTGCTTGCTTCCTTTGTACTACACATGTAAATCTGGAAGCATGTCGGGGATATCAAGGAGTATGGATGGGCCAGCCACCTTCACCACCGTGGTGTACCCCTCTGCCTCGCCCGGGTATCGGTATCAGTGTCAGATAAACGTTTGTGGCCGAGGAGAAGGGAGGGGCCCAGCCGACGCCAATGGAGGCCCCACCACTACTACATACAACATAGCCCAGCTTAGCACTCGGGGGAGAGCAGCGGTAACTTTGTAAGTAAAAATAGACACAAGCGTGAGCCGTGCACTACGCGCGTGAAATTGCTGTGTGGATACTTAACTCTCGAATCAGGTCGGGTGAGTAAGCGTTCCAAATGTTTTATACGCTCATTGTTCAAGCTTGCGTGCTTTCTTATATTTTTTAACCCTTTTCTTTTCGGGTGTCCTTGTAAAATATGTACTAATTAATAGCAACCGTTCTTCCGCTGTTTGATGTTGTGTTGATCGTTACCTACGCAAGGCTCTGCGATCTCGTGAACGTGTTGTAGAAATCTAGGGCGGGCACGTTTCTTTGTGGAAAACTTCACAGCTATTTTTAATACAAATTTAACCCCGTAACGTAAGGTTGGAAGTTGCTTCATTGGTGCTTGTTCTTCGGGGGGGTGTAGGTTTCTTTTAAGAAGCGTCTAATGTGTTATTACAACATTTGCCAGTTTATTTTTTTACGAACATTTTTTTCCCCTCCTAAGAATTAATTACACGCTCTCATTTGCGGCACATACCCTGTATCAAACATTGGTTGTGTGATCCTTGGGAGCTTTTATCAAAATGAATGTTAGGTGTTCTGTTGTTGGGCTTTTTTTTTTTTTTTTGCATGTGAAGTTCTGTTGATTCTGACTTCTCTTCTTTCTCGATGATTTGATCGAGAAGCTTGCTTTCTTTTAAATGCGGTATTAGAGTCAGTTATTACATTTCAATTGAACCTGCCCCTGTGTCTATCTTTTTACTCACTCACTCTCTCCCCGTGTGTTTATTAACCGCGTTAGTTTTTGTATTGACGTGTCTCTCGTTCACATAATAGCATAGCGCTGTTCAGGGGGAAAGAAATGCTTTGCCTGTTGAAATCGGTGGTGTGGCTTGAAAGGGTTAATGTTTTTCTTCATTGAGTAGGTAAGCTCACGTCCTGTAGATCTACGTGTGTGCGCGCGCGAGAAAGAGAGGGTGTGTGTGAGGAGCGGCGGCCACTTCGACTGTATCTGGCAGCTGCGCGTCGGACAGATGTTACGCCAGTTTGCAAGGAATAGAAAAAGAAGAAGAAAAAAAACTGGCAACGAATTTAAAAAACAAAACACTGCTTTTTTCAAGCAGCCGGGCGTGGGAGAATTTCTTTCGGGAAAATTAAAGAATGCTGTTTACGTTTTGGATTTTTTTTTAGAGGCGGGAAATAAAATCCGAGTTGAAAGTAGTGAAAGCTTAAAAAAGTGAAGTCTTCGTCTTTCAG